CGGAGAATTTATTCTTGCCCCAAAAGGACAAGGGAAAATTGGGTGCTCACCCTGCTTGTGAGTTCTTTTTCCCCCCAGTCTGCCCCAAACCAACAGAAGACTACCCTCACCACTGGGATGAAACTGCAAGGCCTCAGAGAGCTGTGCCACGTTGCCAGGCACTTGGATGGTGCCCCCCATGAGGTATAAATCCTGAGCATCACGTTCCCGGCCGGTGAAACTGGACATTGGGAATTCGGGTGATCCTTGGGAGGGCGTTGGTGGACATGACTTTTGCATGGGGGTTTATGTCGAAGATGTTCCGCATTCACTACAATTCACCAGTGACATGGGAACTCCACGTATACAGGGAGCACACAAAACAGCCCAGCCCAACATGCCGCGTTCCAGCGCCAAGCACACGGAAGAAGAAGCGGAGAGAAGGCCAGCTGCCGGAAAACGTCAGTGTGCTTTCAGCGGACCGCGTAAAATATTCAGCGCGAACACATCAACACCTCTCAGGTGGATAGCGAGAACTTCCCCCCAAAAGCGATTGGTTGCATCCCAAATGGGATGCGCCCCCACTCAAAATCAGGCTTGTGCTTTTCCATGTTGCCGCAGGAAAAAAAACAAAACATCCGCCCCCCCCCCCCCGGCCCCCCAGCACCAGCAATCTCAAGTCAGCCGTTTTGAGGGATCATGCCAATCAAAGAAATCCGCCCAAAAAACTCATCGAGGGCTCGCCCCCTCCCAAACCGCGGCTTCCCCATCGCACGGCGTGGCGCTGGGCAGAGCTGCGGCAGGCGTGGCTCCAGCGCCAGCGCCAGCGCCAGGTTCGTCAAGGGCGCCAAGGACACCAGCAGCGGCGTCTCTGCGCTCGCGCGGCCTTCGGTGCTTGGTTCCGCTTGGGGGTTTGAGACCCCGGCCTCGTCTTCCCAGCCAAAGAACCCGGCAAAACCCTCGGAAAATAATATGGAGCAACCTGTGCTCCTGTCTTTCGGTTCCTGTCTTCAGTGGTCCCAAGAATTCCCCTGTGGTCCCTATAATTCCCTATAATTCCCCTATACTTCGCTATAATTCCCCTATAATTCCCCCCTTGTTGGCCGAAAGGTGAGCTTGTCCTAGGGCTGAAAGCTCTGCGGTCATTGCCCAAGTCTCTCGAATTGTTCCGTGTGGCTCCGAGCTAAGGTTCCAAAAGGGTTCGGAGAGTTCCGCTGTTGGCGAAGCTTCCCGTTTTTCTGGTTGGTTCAAAGGGAAACCAAAGGGAACCACCGATTTTTGCGGGTGCGCAATTTTGAGACAAACCCAGTCGGTGGCTGATGCGGATGTCCTTCTGTGGCTGATGCAGAAGTCTATCCCAATATTTTGCCTATGGCCCTTGAATTCCCTCAAGGGTATCACACAAAGTGCAACCAACAGCCCTTGTTCCACAACTTTGGTTCGGGCCGGTCAAATTCACCTCTGCAAACTGGATATTTTGTGGGGAAGCCGGTTTGCAATTCTGAAGAAGGTTGAACAACCAACAATCAACATGTCAAACTACTACCGATTTTTCCAAATTGCCGTGGACACAGAGGCAAGTATGCCATCTTATTTTGTGTTTTCACAACATAGCACGTTGGTCCGAAAGCCTGGCCAGACTCCACTGAACAATTTGGTCTGTCTTTGCCTGGGTATTTTTTGCTTGGTGGTTTTGAGGGAAACCAAAAGGAAACCCGCCAGGTCCCCTGCAAAAAACACATCCAAGCTTTAAAGAAACACATGGCTCGGGTGCCTGCAAAGCCCCGCGCTCATCGTCGAATGAATGCGGGCATGAATTTCAATAGGCGATGCCTTGAACTTGGTGAAACAAAAATCATTGCGCATGGGGATTTCTGTCCGACCGCTTCTTTTTGATCAGAATTGAAGAGCCGCGTCGCATTCAAGTGCAGGCACGCGGCAGGTGTGCACAATGAACTCTGCAGCGCTCATCGAGGTGTTGACCCCGTGCGTTAGCTCTATGTTGGGCGGCGCGCCTGCAACACATCGCTCGTGAAATCATAAAAGCCTACCTGTACCCTCGTTCCAACAATCATAGAATGGGACTGAGGGGGCTCCCAAAGGAAGTAACTAGTCCTCCAAAACCTTCCTGTCAACTTCCATGATTGGTGAAAGATAGCACCCAAATCCACATAAGTATATCCAGGCAACGTAATTAATATTAACTCCCATATCTTCAATCGAAACGTGAATCGCGAACTGCAACTCGGTGGCCGTTGCCACTTGCCTCTTGTTGCTTAGTGAGGAAGTAGCTCTATTCAATCCAAAGATTTAATGCCAGCACGAGTGGTTGCCCACCCCATGTCCCACTTGCTTCGCCGTGCACTGCCACAAACAGATTCAAGATCCAGAATCCAGCCGCCGTCTTTTTGGCGCAAACGACTTTGGGCTCAAACCTCAAAGGCCGGTTTTCCCGCCGCCGCCGGCCGCCGGGCCGCTGCAACCTCAGCCTCCGCGCCTCCCAGGCCATCGGCTCCATGGAAGCGTGGCCCACCCAGGTCGTGGAAGGGCTGGGACAGCGGCTCCCTATGCCAAACACGCACAAATCTGCACAAGAAGTCCGAAATTGATTGCAAGAAACGCGCACATTTGGGATTTGGGCCATTAACATAGCAACTTCCTTCCTTAGCCTCCCCTGCTGCGTGCTCTTCGCCAAGGATGCCCCAATGTAACACTGGCAGAGTTGGGCCACCTTGGCACACATTAAGCAACAAGTCGATTCCGGCCCTTTCATCCCCTTTTCACACCCACGCTTACTTGCCGAGCGGGCAAAAAGTGCATCCGGAATCCTCACTTTGCCTGATTTTGAAGGCATCCCGCTCAGGAAAACACCGCTGGTCGCGAAGCGCCCTCCAAAAGTTTTACTCATCCGAGGCGCGTAGCGCCCATGTAGACGGGAACGTCGCTGCGCCCAGCGAGCGCTAAGACGCGGAGGGCATTCGAAGCCTGCGGGAAGTGGCTGAGCGGTCGAAAAACAACATGAGCGACCTGGCTGTTGCTGTAACTTACCCTGCCTCAACATGGCATCTGACAGGGGGTCCTGTAAAGAGGACATTGCTCGTCCAGGAATCCTTCCACAAACGCCTAAGAAGACGCGACAAAGATAACTTCCGCTACGCTCTTCGCATGTTTGATGCCCCGCAAAACGCATTTTCTGTGTCTTGGAAATATGTTCTATGCAGTTGTGAACCAGTGGCATGCACGGGCGCTACCCGTGTCCCTTTCTGGCATCACTTCTTTGGAACTATTTAGAACGGGCCAGCCATGAACCCACTCCACAGCCCGGCCCAGTTCCATCCCTGTCTGTCCCCGCCAGCTGCGAGGTGTTGTGCAGCGAGCCGAAGTTGATACCTTGCAATGGGCATTGAATGTCAGACATCAGAGGAGCATTATGGAACATGCACATGCCACAAGCGTTCTTTGAACAATTTTGGTGGGCTTCCCTTAAAAAAGCAAGCGCGAATCTGGCTGTGAAAACACATCTTGGCCGACTTTGCTCAATATCCTACGTTGGCCAAGCAGCAGGGCGGGAGTCTCAATTGGGGCAAGAAAGCGTGACGGTACTAATGCGCCAGCTTCCTGTTGCTCCGAGCTGCAAATGCCTCGCACGTCCAGCTCGGGCGATGCCAGTGCCAGCAGTATCGCGATGGAGTCATCAATGCCTATCACGGCATCTCACCCCAACACCGACACACAGAATGCCTCTAGCACCCTGCACAGCAATCACCTTGGCCTGGCACTTGCGGAGCCCAGTGCCTTTGGGAAATTTCAGTTATAATTGCAACGTTGGCTTGTTGTCCCATCGGTCGCGCAAACGTGCGGGCCACGCAGGTCCAGACTTTTTTGCACTTTGCACCCCTGAGTTGACCTGAATCCCGGCCTCGGGGAAGGCTGTCCGAGAGCCATCTCAAGGTACTGACACACTAGAAGAAATACCCGTGCTGCTGTCAAATGTAAACCCTCAAGCTGAGTTGGGCTGCGCGCAAAGTGATCCTGGCCCTTTGCAGGAGGAAAACCTCTGGCCAAGGCGCCTGCCTTGCACAAAGGGCAGCTGGACATGTGAAACGACTTAAGCTTTTGACCTTCACTAAAAAATGAACCATCAAGAAGGGAATCCTTCTAGGTCAAAAGTTCTCAAGGTCGGCTGTGGGCAAAGACTGAAGGCTGACCGGTCGACCCACCTGGGTCCGTGCTGATGACCACCGGCCGAGCCCAGACGAGCGGCAGAAAAGCGAGCAGCCACGGGATCATGGCACCGGATGAAGGAGCTGAACGCCCGCTCGGGCGTGAGGATTTGAAAGGGGGGGACCCCTGGGTGAACTTTTGCGTGGAAAATTGAGTCCGCAGCCGCTTTGGAGGGAGCCCTTTCAAAAATTGTAGCCATTTTGGGGGGTCCTTTCAGCGCATGCTTGGAAAGCCTAGGTTCTGCAAATGGGATGGGGGGCAGTGGGCTTGAGCGGCCAAATTGGATGTCATAGCATGCTTCTACACTGGCTCTGCTCCGGAAGCTTTGATGATTTGAGCCGGCGTCCGAATTTTGAACACGAGACTGCACACAAGGCCACAAAGTACAGGATAGCGACCTCAGGCATCTCAAGCGTATGCACCTCCGCTAATCAGCACCCTTCGCACACCCGACAACAACACAGGGCTCTCGTGATCTCAGGTAGTTTCAAAAGCAACCGGAGAAGTAGAAACCATCACTTTGTCATCGCCTTCTGTTCGATTCTAGACACGGACCATTCACGCCAAGTCCTGCTTGCCTGGGCGGGCTTCGGGCCGGGGGGATGCAAACATTCAACTCTTTCCGGACAATGATAAGCCCCTTGATTTTGTCGCGTCTCGGCAAATCTCAGTGTGTCTCCACACTGAAAAGGTCACTGATTCATCAAGTGTCGTCTGCCCTCCGGTCGCACTCTCAAAAAGGAACCAGCCCGCATACGTTGCGCTCTGAGAGCCCTCCCGGCATGCCGCCGAGTGGCTGTGACTCGCCCGCCATCGCTGGGGCGATCAATGCAAACCACAGTGCCACTCACCTTGGGCGCCGCTCAAAGGTAAACAGACAATGAACTTGCATCGAACAGGAGTGGCACGTGCCAAGTGGAGCCAACTCGCCTACGTACAACCAGTCAGGTCTGACTACTGTCAACGTGCAGCAGCTGCTAAAATTCTAAGTTACGTCAATCAGACCCACAGGCAGGTGCTCGGGTGCCAGGCCCCAGTCAGCTCCGGGTGGCTGCGGCTGAGACTCAGGCGCACACCTGGCTGGCACCCCACAAAAGCTGATTGCACAGACACCTCCCCGGCACAAAACCGCACAAAAAGAATAAGTGTGAGCCCTTTGGCTTGAATTTCAAGCAACCCAAGAAGGGAACCCCTCTTAGAAAAGGCGTACCCCTCTGGCCCCAGCCGGCTGGCTGGCTGTAAAGCTACAAGGCGCCCGGCTGCTTGAACAATAGATGGTAGATGCAGCCTTCCTTCAGCAAATCAGGGGCAACAACAAAGGCGTCTTCTTTGCCCATGACTTTTTGCGGGGAATGGTCTACGACGCCCTGGCTCTGGGTACGACTCAAACTTGACACTCAATACTATATTTGCCATGCTCAGGGGTCACTGGATTTCCACCTTTGCTTGTGTCCTTTAAGCCTGCCGCTTTTGGAGGTTCCACAAAAGACATATATGGGTCAAAATTAAACCACTAGGGGACCGCAGGTTTTGGTCCAGGTTTCCATTTACCAGGTTCCAGTTGGTACCTATTTTTGACCCACATCCAAATGAACCAAACCCCATGGTTTCCTCTGGGCGCCCCGCCGTCCCCCGGCTTCAGGCGGCTCTCATGGTGGGACAGCGCCGGGTCCATCCACGGGCTGTGGTCCGTCTGAGCAACGACCGCTTGGCCGCTCCCCCCACTTTGGTCCACGTGTTTCTCGGGAGCCAAGGCCACTCCCACAGCTCGGAATCAAGATGTGGGCATGGCTCAAAACCAATGGTACCATTTTGGGATAGGTGCACCACCCATTTTAGTCTATTTTAGTGCGGATTGGTGCGGGATTTTGACCCATGGCCATGTTTCTTGGGAACCAAAAGGTTTAACATGGAGGTCAAACAGCCCGTTTGGGCTAAGGACAAACCGGATCCCCCTTTGGGGAATGGCACTGACAAAAATCCAAGTAGAGCCCAGCTGAACACATTGCCATCTGTCGACTTTGAGGCACCCACCCGCCAATTCGCCATACAGGGATGCTTTGTGAGAAGTTCAGCGTGCTTTAGGTGCTGCAAGCCAGCTGTTCCGGAACCCATGCACCCCATGGTTGCGTTACCCTCCAAGCTTGGCTTCATGTTGCCTGCGCAGCATGTGGCAGTCGCTCAAAGAACCTGTTTTGCTAGTCTCCTGGAATGACTTGCTCTACGGAAGAAAAACAAAATGTCAGGAAGGTTGTGGATACATGATATAAACACACAGCCTTTGAGATGGTTGTCGTCTTGTCTGCCCAGCCCTGACATTCGGAGCTCACTCCGGACGGCTGGAGCACATGCCATTTGAAGTGTGGGCTACCCTCTTTCGGTGCGGTTTGAAAGGGGACATCCCCCATTTGGACACGCAACCACTTAATTTCAACCAGACACAAAAAATGGGCCTACCAGTCCGCCATCAAATATTGAAGCCCCCTGCCAATCTTGCAATTTCTGGCCTGCTTCCTCCATCTGGATGCGAGTCGCTTTTCCTGCAGGGCTGAATGGGAAAAAAACTTGCTCCCAGGAGAACGAGAGTGTGAATGATCAGCTAACACTTCACGACACTCGCTCTACTGGAGAAATCGGGTAAATTCAACTCTAAGTGCTTTGCACAACATCAAATGCCTTTGCCAGCGACATCTCACGATCAGCTGAGGCTATCCACACAAAGAACCGGCCCGTATTAAAACGGTGTTCCGAAGTTTTGCTTTGTCAAGGTCCCCCTTCCCTGATGGATTAAAGCATGCCTCCCCTACACATACAACAATATAATAAAACAAACCCGAGTGGCCAAACGTGTCACCCACACTTTTGCCTATGTAAATGTCTCACTTGGTCAACGTTCAACCCTAAACCCAGGATTAAAATACGTTCTCCTTCACAACTCCAGCCAAGGGCAAAGATGCGAGAAACCGTACATGGTCCCAAATGTTGAGCCGTCCCAGGCACTGACAAACACGATGGCGCAAACAGCAAGTAAGCAAGTTGATCACTACCAACTATAGTATGTTGAAATCGATTGACACCACATTCAAGGCTCCAGATTTCCCAGGGCACTTTCCATTGGAATCCCAAACCGGCACATTCTGATTAGAGTCCCATGGGCCGAGCAGGGAAAAACGGCTTCCCGAAAACCTTCAACCTTGACGGGGGGAAGAATTTCGGGTGGAATCGTTACAAATCAAAATTGAGCTTCGCCAACACCGTTGCGGGACATACCTTCAATGAGCCCGGCCTGTGTCATCTCTGCTCAACATGCGCTCCCGCTCATTGAACAAAAGCAAAGCAAAGCAACCAACGAAGAAAAACACAGATCGCGCCCAAAATGGGCTCCAGCTAGGCCGCGATCTCCTTCTCCAACAAATGCCGAAAGACCTTCAAGCTGTCCACATCTTCGCGCATGGGCAAGGCCTCGCTGTGCGGGATGTCACGGCCACTGAGGGCGTCCGGGAAAAGGCTGTGTCGAGGTCTTCGGCATGCCTGAGGGATGCTAAGGGATCTGGCAAAGGATCAAAGGGTACGGACTTGTTTGATGACAAACTCTAATAGTTTGGCCGCTCTGAGGCACCAATGTCTAAAGAGTTGCTTCCCAAAGTAAACCGTCAGACCAATTAATTAGAGACTATGCACCCCCAAATACGTATGAGACAATGCTTCGTGCACTTCCGCCGGGGCTGGACACGGAAATTTGTATGCGCTGAATCAAGGAATTCGGAAACACTTGCCACAAGGAGCCCCAGCTGTTTGAGCCTCAGTTGCGTTGTCAGTCTTGCAAGAACCGGGCCACCACACCATTTTCCGCGGCGCCAAAGCGGACACTGGGGCTCACAGGGTCTATGCGGCACGCGCAAGGCTCAAGGTTTGGGTTGTCTTGGTAAGGTCGCGTGTGCCAACTGGGACAGCTTCAGAGCTCAAAATGCAATGTGTGCCCCCAAAAACAAGGGGTGGCGGGTCAGCTGAAGCTGTGTAGCAATGTCCAAATGAAGGCTCCAAGGGTGCAGCGCTAAGGTGGAGGGAGCAAACTATTGCATGATCGGTCTGACATATCAAATGGCTGCAGCCGGCGATCCATTCACTGCCTTTGACCCTCAAGTCTCTGAAGCGCGGCCGCAGCAGTGGCAATGCTCCAGACTGATCTCAGGGTCACTGATGAGTCTATTTACCCATCTCACAAACCTAGCCCTTCTTTGAGTGAACATAGCCTGAGCCTGCTTCGTCTCCCAACTCAGCCTGGGTCTTGCCCGTTTTGGGGTTGGGTGATATGGAAGGCTCTGCTAGTCCTGAGTCAATTCCTGTGCAAACACATCAGGAAGCTCTGATGCCATGTCAGTACAGCCACAACGCCATGAAAACCATGGCTCCAGGAACCCTGGCAAATGAGCCCAACACCGATCCCAAGAGCATTGTCACCAAATCAACCACCCCCAACAATCACAGCAGGACTTTACAAGACGATCATCCTCTTGCAAAGGCCCCTTTGCGCGTTTCCAAATGAATTGCTAGAGCCGAACCTGCCTGGGGGCCTTTGGGGGATTCCATGTTTGCCCCGAGTCCCGGAGCGGCCCTTGCGCATCGCTCTTTTGCTGGCAGGCGCGGTGCTGGAAAAGTCGCGCGCCTGGCGTGCATTCTGGCGCCGGAAAGGCAAACCTCCAAATCAAGTATGGGGCCCGGGGTGGCTGGCAAGCCGGGTGTCCTTGCCCATCTGCTTGCGTGGAACCCTGCAGCGCCCACACCTCGGAAACCATGGCCTCGGAGGTCACTCTTCTGGACTGGGAACATTTGCCCCTGGTTTCAATCAGGTTGCAAAGATGAAACAACAAAACTAGCAACGCCATCGCGGTCGCAACTTTCACTTTGATTCTGTGACAGGTTCAAAGTGAGCTTGAACCCGCAACCCGTCCCCGCCCCCCACTGCCCCTCACATCGCAACATGCCTGCTGGGTCCGACATCTGACCATCTCGCCCTGAGCAGCGCGCATGCGTCAGCCCTCAAAAACCACAAAGGTGCATCATGCCCCACAAGGCTCAAAAGAAGCAAACATCTCCAAGGTTTGATCTGCGCTGGGGCGCGTTTTTCCCGACTCTGTTCGTCAGCGTGTTTAAAACAACGACTCTGTTGGTCATGCCATCGTCAGCAAGCTCCTTGGCCAGACTCTGGCCAAATCTTGCACGCCTTGATCGATTCAGGCCAAAAGCACAGACAGGGCACCCGGCTGTCAGGAGCGTCATCCGTGCTGAGCAAAACCGTTAAACCGGCCCACTGGACCAGTGAATTCCCGCCTGTGTGTTGGGCTAGGCTCCTTTAATGGCCGCTTGCTTGCCCGCCTTGACTGGGGCCTGGCAATCTGTCAGCATTGCCTTTTCCTGACCCTTCAAGGCTTCTTTGGCCCGATCGGCCATCCAGAGAAAGTCCGACATCGGGCCCTGGACTTTGTTCCTGAAGCAGTCGAAAGCCAACCGCAAAGCCAGCTGCTCCTCTGCTGTCTGCGCTCACGCCGCGCGATCACGACGCGTCGGCAACGTAAGCTTCAGAACCGAAAAGGCCGAACCCCCAGCTGAGCCTATTTCAAGAACCCTTTCGGCATGTCCGCCGGCCCCACCAATTGACAACCCTCCAAACCCCGTCCTCCTCAGCAACCTGATGCTGGAAGGCTTCGCGGCACGTGTCCACGACCTGCTCCAAGAGACGGCTGCACGGCTGGAGCCTCTTGATGACGTCCGCCTGCTCCTGTCGGGCTTGCTCAAACCAATCTGAACTGGGAAACCACCACAAGAGGCTCTCAAATCCACTTGGCAAAGGGATCCAGGATTTGGAGCACCACGTGGGCTCAGGAAGTTGCATGTTGAGGCGCGCCTCCCTTCTTTGTTGGCAGAACCCAAACGATACAAGCGCAAAAGGTAATAAGCACTGAACCAGAAACAGGCCGCTTCTTGGCCGAGAAGTCCTCCTTGAGCTTCTTCAGGTCCTCTTCCAAAGCCTGAATTCGCCCCTCGCAAGCTTCTTTCTCATCACTCAGCTCACAGATTCTGTCATGCAAATCTTCCTCAATCTTCACCCAGCCATCCTCGTCACTGCTGGCACTCTCTTCACTTGCCGCTTTCAGCCTCCTGCTCCTTTGAAGCTCTTGCTTCTTCTGTCGCTGCGCCTTCAGCTTCTCCTTTTGGGTCTTGAGCTCTTCCTTCTTGTGCTCTAACTCCTTCTTTGCAGATTTTAGCGCCTTCTCAACGCTCTGCGCCTCGCAGCCTTCCAGCGAGAACGTTTTGCTGCGCAAGATGTCAATCAACTCCTTCTTAAACTCTTGCACTTTCTCCTCTTCCACTTCACTTGCGGGTTGGCAAATCTGCTCTGGTCCGACGCCGGCGGCCAGAATGGCCTGGCAAGCCTCCGGGAACATCCAGCGAAACTGGAGTGGGGGCGCTGGGCAAGTTTCCAAACATGCTAACCTGCTTCACAGGACGCGTCAACCTCCCAAAGCAACTGTTTCCATAGCCGGTTTCAAACTGCACATGCCACTCTTTAAGAAAAAACATGGGTAACAAAAATCGAAGCGAGAGCTGGCGGGAAGCATCGTGCACCTCTGTGCAACAGAAGAAGGGCACATGATGCCTTGCAAACTCTACGCGGCGCCAGCTACCTTGCCGAGACACGCTGCACAGCTTTGCGACATGAGCATCACTGCGTAAGGAAAAACAAGCGCCTGGGTCAACAAAATTATCGGGTAAAACTATGTGTGCCCAAAAAAAGAATCAATCCGGCTTGTTTTTGCTGCTTGCCCCATTGAAGCGAAAGCACACTTGGTCGTTCGGGGTGAGCGTCTTTGGCACATTGCGGCTGTCAATCGTGAAACTCTCACCCTTACTCTCACTCCCACGCCCACTCACCCTCGCACACACACGCGCACTCACACACACAGACTCACTCTCACTCACACTCTCTCACACACTCACGCACTCACACATTCACGCTCACACACTCACTCACCCACTGACACTCACCCACTGACTCACTCATGTCAAGCGCGAGAATGAGAGAGTGAGCGAGTGAGCGAAAGGAGAATGAGAGAGTGAGAGCAAGTGTGAGAGTGTGAGAGTGTGAGGTTGTGAGTGTGAGAGTGAGTGAGCAAGCGAGTGAGCAAGTGGGTGAGTGAGTGAATAAGTGAGCGAGCGAGCGAGTGAGTGAGCGAGAGTGAGTGAGTGAGTGCATGAGTGAGTGAGTGGGTGTGAGTGAGTGAGTGCTTGAGCGCGTGAGTGCTTGAGTGAGTGAGTGCATGCGTGCGCGCGTGCGTGCGTGCGTGCGTGCGTGAGTGCGTGCGTGCGTGCGTGCGTACGTGCGGGAGTGAGTGAGTGAGTGAGTGAGCGAGCGAGCGAGCGAGCGAGCGAGCGAGTGAGTGAGTGAGTGCGTGAGTGAGTGAGTGAGTGAGTGAGTGGAGTGAGTGAGTGAGTTGAGTGGAGTGGAGTGGAGTGGAATGGACTGGCCCCCTTTTAGCACGTTCCAGGGATCCCGTGCTATTTTTGCATGGTTTGTTTTCAAAAACATATCAACCACATTGTTGTGCGTTTGCTATGCTCCCTGTTTCCAGTGGCACTTTCTGAACATGATTAGGATCTGACAAAGTTTCCCTTTTGGTTTCTGATCTTAAAACTTATCATGACATTGTTTTCATCCCGGGATCGCATGGTGTTGAAAAAGCACCTAAACCGTTTCATCTCCGCCCCCTCAGCAGTCGTGAGCGCCTGTGGACCCAAAGAATCCGTTCAGGTTATTGATCGACTATTGTCTAAAATGTTTATCTAGTCTGGAAACATGTTTTCAATGTAGCTAAACATAAACTATGTTTAGGTTATTTTCGAAGATGAATATAGGTTATGTGTATTAAAAAGGGGGTTAACAATTGCTTGTTTGTTTCTAGCTATTTGTTTAAACCCCTAGTTAAAGAGTGAACAATAGGTTATGTTTCAAAGCTATGTGCTCAACTTCATGCTTTGAACTAAGTTTGAGCCTTGTTTGTTTAGTATGTGTTTGATGTTTAAACTGTTTTGGGTTTACCGGTTTTAGCATGTTCCCACATGTTTGAATTATTGGGCTTGCTGGGTTCCATGTTGTGCCACCGGTCTTCAACAACTTCCCTTGGCTGCCGAGACGTAGGATGTGGAATCGGACATTACATATGTTCAAATCTGCGCTGGCTCTTTGTCACACCTATGCTCGCTGTCAAACTTGCGTTCTCGTGACTCACTTGTGTGTTTTTGGAAAATAGCCACGCAACAAGTCCACACAAACGTTCAACCTGCTATGCCAACTCCTGCCTGGCAAGAGCGCGTTTAAATCGCGATGCGAATTCCAGAGCGCCAAAGCTACCTGCAGTTCTCGCACTCGCTAATCAATGTAAGTTTGTATCCACTGTGAAATGACATTATGAGGCTGCAGGGCCTGTTTTTGGAGGCAGGACTTTGCGTGGCAAGCTGGGATTTGATAGCAGTAATGTCCACCTATAATTAATACCCTACTCTCGGCCCCTCCCCCCTCACCAATCAAAGCCCGGGAATAAAGCCACACCGGACCTGTCCAGCTCAACCGTCACCGTCAGGAGACACCGTGGAAAATTAGGGCTGTCACCCCCTTTGCCCTGAGATCTCATTGTCAAAGGTTTGTGACAGTGAGAGTTCACCATGTTGCCGCTTTAGTGGAAAATATCTGCATTTCAGATGACACTGTGAAATCTCAGTGCCACAAGTTCGTGACACTGAGATCTCTTGACTTTGGAAAACAAAGATATTTTGGACTTTGGAAGGGATCATAACTCATTGCCCACGGCCCGGCTGTTTACCAAACAAGTTTTTTTGTATACGGCCGCGGGAGGGGGAGGGATCCAGGTTGCCCCAGTTTATGCCAGGACCTCAAAGGGGGGAGGGCTCCAGGTCCCCAAGCAAGCCAGTTTTCGGTGTCGACGGGCAGGGTTTACACCCATGGCCCGTTTGTTTGTCCGTTTGTTTGGTTTCGTTCGTTCGTCCGGTCGTTCGCTTGTTTGTGTGTTTGTTTCTTTCATGTTTTTGTTTGTTTGTTTTGGCTGTCTGTCTGTCTGTCTGTCTCTGTCTGTCTGTCGGTCTGTCTGTTTGTTTGTTTGTTTGTTTGGTTGGTTGCTTGTTTGGTTGTTTGTTTGTTTGGTTGTTTGGTTGTTTGTTTTTGGTTTTGTTGTGTGTATGGTTTTGTTGTGTGTTTGATTGGTTGGTTGGGTGGGTGGCTGGCTGGCTGGCTGGCTGGCTGGCTGGCTGGCTGGCTGGCTGGCTGGCTGGCTGGTTACCGGTTGGTTGGTTGGTTGGTTGGTTGGTTGGTTGTTTTGTTTGTTGTTTTTGTTGGTTGTGTTTGTTGGTTGTGGTTGTTGGTTGTGTTTGTTGGTGGTTTTTGTTGGTTGTGTTTGTTGGCTGTGTTTGTTGGTTGTGTTTGTTGGTTGTGTTTGTTGGTTGTTGTTGTTGTTGGTTGTGTTTGTTGGTTGTGTTTGTTGTTTGTTTGCTTGTTTTGTGTTGCTGTGTGTTTGTTTGTTTGTTTGTTTGTTTGTTTGTTGGTTGGTTGGTTGGTTGGTTGGTTGGTTGGTTTGCTGGTTTGTTGGTTTGTTGGTTGGTTGGTTGGTTGGTTGGTTGGTTGGTTGGTTGGTTGGTTGGTTGGTTGGTTGGTTGGTTGGTTGGTTGGTTGGTTGTTGCTTGTTTTTTATTGTTTAGTTTGTTTGTTGGTTGGCAAGTTGGTTTTGTTTGCTTTGTCTGCTTGGCTGTCTGTAAAACCCTCCACACTCAAGACACATGTACTCCAAACACGTGCTTTTGAGAACACTTGGGATCTGAAGCTTTCAATAATTTGGCCCAACTCCGTCAAACCACAAGAACCTTCAGCTTTTTGTTGATTCCCATCCACCGGCTTTACCTGTAGCACCCACTAAACTCAAAGAATATGCATGTCGTAAGCATGCTT